CAGGCACACTCCCCCCCCCAGGGGGCTGGACAGGCACACTCCCCCCCCCAGGGGGATGGACAGGCACACTCCCCCCCCCAGGGGGATGGACAGGCACACTCCCCCGGGGGCTGGGACTGAACCTAGAACCCATGCATGCCAGGCATACACAGTTGACTGAGCTGCACCCTGGTCCAGTGACTCTCCCCACTCCCAGCTGTGTTCCTGCATTTCTGGTTTGTTCATGTGCTAGGCTCTCACTGTGCAGCCCTGTATGGCCTTGAACACGGACTGATTCTCTTGCCTCTGCTTCCTGAGTGGTGGCTGGGACTACGCGCCACCTCACACCAGGCCCCGTTCTCATTCTTAGACAGCTCCAGTGCGTTTTCTGTTTACCCTCTGCAGATAAAGAAACCAAGATTCTGCTGGGCGTGGTGGCACAGGCTCCTAATCCCAGCACTCAGGAGCCAAAGGCAGGCGAATCTGAGTTTGAGGCTATCCTGGTCTAAAGTTCCAAGACAGCCCGAGCTATGTAAAGACCCTGTCTCAAACAAAACAAAACAAAACAAAACAAAACAAAAGCTCACTTTCAATATCCAGTAAGTTGAGGCAGGAAGATTGCAGAGAGTTTGAGGCCAGACTGATTTACCTAGTAGTTTCAGGCCAGTGTGGGCTACAGTTTGAGATCCTGTCTCTAAAATAAAATAAAATTCACCGGGCTGGAGAGATGGCTCAGGGGTTAAGAGCACTGGCTGCCTTTCCTGAGGTCCTGAGTTCGATTCCCAACAACCATATGGTGGCTCACAACCATCTGTAACAATATCTGGTGCCCTCTTCTGGCCTGTAGGCATACAAGGAGGCAGAATACTGTATACATAATAAATTAATTTTTAAAAAAAGAATAAAAAATAAAATAAAATTCAGCGATGACTGCATATTGAATGAAAGAAAAGTAATAAGACTGCCATGAGCACAAACTACCTCCAGGTAAAGAGGTCAGTGCCCTTAACCAAGGCTCTGCTCACCGACAAGCAGGTTTCCTGCCAGAGAGGGAGGGACCAGAGCCATTTAACCACGAAGAGGAGGCCGTTTGAGTGCAGTAACTGGTCTGTGTAAGGTCAGCATCAGACAAGTTCATTTATTTGTTCATTTTCTTTTGGGGGGAGGATTTTGAGACAGGGTTTGTCTGTGTAGTCCTGGCTGTCCTGGAACTCATTCTGTAGACCAGGCTGGCCTCGAACTCAGAGATCTGCCTGCCTCTGCTCATTTTGTTTTTTGAGACAAGGTCCGTTAGGTTGTTCTGACTGGCCCAGAACTCACTATGCAATTCAGGCTGGCTTGAACTCTGGGCAGATCTCTCTCTCTCTCTCTCTCTCTCTCTCTCTCTCTCTCTCTCTCTGTTTGTTTATTTATTTATTTATTTTAATTTTTTGAGACAGGGTTTCTCTGTGTAGCTTTGCGCTTTTCCTGGAACTCACTCTGTAGCCCAGGCTGGCCTTGAACTCACAGAGATCCACCTGCCTCCGCCTCCTGAGTCCTGGGATTAAAGGCGTGCGCCACCGCCGCCACCGGGCTGGGCAGCTCTCTTATCTCCGTCTTCCAAGTACTGTGATTGCAGGCCTGAGCAGCCACTACATCGCCTTTAGGGCAGTTTGTAACACTGTATAAGGAAGAACCTTCTAGCAATTAGAACTCTTAAACCTGGAAAGGTGGTGATCCCAGCACTTAAGAGGTTGAGACAGGAGGATTGCCAAGAGTTTATGTCCAGGCTGCATAGTGAGATGGTGACTGTCTCAAGCAAAATAAAACAGAAAACATCCCACTTAGTGGGCTGGAGGGTTGGCTCTTCTTCCAGAGGTCCTGAGTTCAATTCCCAGCAACCACATGGTGCCTCATAACCATCTGAAATGAGATCTGGTGCCCTCTTCTGGCCTGCAGGCATACATGCAGGCAGAACACTGTATACATAATAAATAAATTAAATCTTTATTTAAAAAAAAATGTCCCCTATAGCCAATTTTTAAAGCTATTTGAATGGAGTGTCACAGACTAGAGGAGCACCTTCAGTGGACATACTAAATGACACCTGAGGTTAGGATGGTCAGTCCTGTGCTTAGATGTATGAGGTTCGGTACCAAAATAAACAACATTCAAAAGCTCCCCACTGGCACGCCTCTGAGATCAACTTCTGAAAGGAATGGGAGCTGACCACCTGCTCGCTGCTACCCAGCGAAGCGCAAGAGACAGAGTGGGCAGGCTTACGGCTGCATGGTGCACATGCAGAAATCCCGACCTCAGATCTCCAGACCTGCAGCCCCCAGCAGGCTCTAACAACACCTTCACCTCCCTCCCGCCTGCCCTAGCCTGGCCACCACAGCCCCCGCTCACCGAGATATTGCGAAGAGACCGGTGAGCAGGGGGAGCAGCTTGAGCGTGTCCTGGGGCAGATAGGTGGAAAGGACGGCCAGGTTGAAGAAGTAGAGGATGAAGAGCTGCACGGACTGGGCCACATACTGCCGGTGGATCTCCACTTCCCGCCGCGGCTCTCCAAAGGGCCGGAGGGCCGAGAAGCACAGCAGACTCAGCCCGTAGACCAGGAGCCCTGGCAGGGGAGGAAGCACACACACGGGGTCAGAACAGGCGGGAGGGCTGCGCAGGGTTTCAGGAAGATGGTTCTCGGGTCAGGACTGCAGAGAGGACACAAGCGCTCTCTGCAAGAGAGGGAGCAAAGAGTGGCGGGTTTGGGACGCCCTGGGTGGTTCCCCAGGGGGATGAAGAGAAACCACTCCACCCATGCGCCTCTAGCCCACTTCCTAGGCAGCCCTCTCCCCGGCCCAGACTCACCCAGCACGATGGGGAAGGTGGCAAAGACCCCACAGCGTAGCGTGTAGATCAAGCGGGAGCTCATGGTGGGCAGCCTCGGAGCATCGAAGGGCAGGAAGGCGTACGCCCCATACAGCAGGCAGGGGAAGAAGATAAGGGCAGCCACCACCGAGGCCACGGCTCTCAGCGCCTCGCGGCCTCCACAGCTCCCACAGCCCCCACAGGACCGGCCAGGGGGTCTCACGACTGCCTCGGCCCACTTGCACTCTGAAGGCTCGGGGTGGCTGAGTCGGGCTGGCAGGAAATTCCTGCGCTCGCCCTGTCCGGCCTCCCGATGCACAATGCGCTCCTCCTGTGGCTTCCGCTCGATGCACTGTAAGTCAATGGGCACGAAGGCCCTCACCGTCTTCTCAAGGAGCAGGCTGGCATCGTCTTTGAGTGGGTCCTCCGACTTAGTGAGTGGTTCCAACTCTAAGGGTTCTGGTTCAATATCTCGCCAGCCTGGGGGATCCGGAAGTGGGGCGCTGGCCTGGGGGTCGGTTCCCCAGGGCAAAGTCGCGGCCTCACTCACAGTGCTGTCTGGACCATCCTCGGGCCCCACTCTGACTATGGGAGAACCAACTGAAGACCCCACGGTGAGAGACTCAGCTCCTGGGGACTCAGTCCCACCTTCCCCCTCTGGCTGCGGGCCGGTGGGTACGAAAGCCTGTGGTGGGCTCTTCTCTGGACCCTCGGGCCCCTTCATTTCCAGCAGGGCCAGTGTCTCTGGTTCTGGTTCTGTCATTGCGAGGCTTCAGTTCTGAGGTCTGTCCCAAGGTGACACCATCCTAAAGGGAGTGGGTAAGCTCTGTGAAAATACCTTGTCTTCTGGCCCCGGGACAGTTCCTCAAACTGGAACTCACCAGAGCAGCCGGCCTCATGGGACTCTAGGGAGAACAGTGTGGAGGAAGGTCGAGTTGAGACAGAGAAGGCAGCGGCGGCGGCGGCGGAGGGCTGAAATGGAGAAACACTTTCAAAATAAGTGTCATCCAGCAGGACGGGCTGAGTCAGGGGCACAAGCCCTGGCAGCTGTGGCCTCAGCCTACGCCCACAGCCGCCTTCTGCTCCAGCCACCAAAACCCCCGGATTCATGGCCACTCTGGCTTTGGAATGGGAGGAACTTGGCCGAGAGCTTTACAACTGAGCATCATGCTAGAGAGAAACTGCCCCTTCACCCTTCCACTTGCCCTTTGCCCCGCAGATCCCCGCCTGAACTCTCTTGGCAACCGATCCCAGTTGCCAGCTACTCCGTTCCTCAGAGCCCATTCCAGGAGCCAGTCATTTTCTAAACGCCCCCCCTTGCCAGGCTCACCCAACTCAGCCGGGCTGGGCTGCACTCAGACTTTCAGCTCTAGTGCGGCTGTTCCCAGGCCTTCCTGCGGGTTTTCCTCCCCGCCACCTTCCAGTCCACTGCTTGTGGGCAGACTCTCTTTGTTCACTTCTAGGGCCCCTCCTACCCCTGCCCTTTGGACCCACCGTACCCTCTTACTTTACATCTGCGGAGAGGCGGAGGATCCCCGGAAAGGAACTGCCCAGCTCCTGGCTGGCTCCGCAAGTATTTCCCAGTCTCCCTCCCCTGACCTGTGTCTCCCTCCAAACCTGTCTGACCAGAGCAGGTGGGGCTCAGATTAAAGGCGCAGGCCCTGCCCTACAGAATCTGCCGACTGGAAGAGTGCTAAAGGAGGATGTCATCCGTTTTGAAAGTGAGGGTGTAGCTGGACACAGAGGTGTGGGCTTCAGGTGTTCTGGGATGTGTAAGAGCTTCCAGTTCAGGAAAGCGTCCGGGGAAAAGTGGGTTTGTATGCCAAAGGGTACTCAGAGGAAGCTGGGAAAAGACCACACTTGCAAGTTTGTTCTTTCTGTAAATGTGTATCAATTTTATTTAATAATGTGCTGTTCTTGGGGGTGCACACTCCTTCAATCCCAGCACAGGAGGCAGAAGCAGGCAGATTTCTAGGAGTCTGAGGACAGGCTGGTCTAGAAGCCAAGATTCAGGACAGCCAGAGCTACATAGAGAGACCCTTTCTCAAAAACAAAAAAACAAAAAATTCCAACCAACAAGTGCTATTTTAGGCACGGGGACAGACGAGAACAAAGTGACAATCAAGGTTTCTAGCTATTGGGGTAACAGGCATTAAACATTCACACTGAGCCTGGGAGTGCTGGCGCACACCTTTAATCCCACCCCAGCACTCAGGAGGCAGAGGCAGGTGGATCTTTGTGAATGAGTAGACCAGCTTGGTCTACAGAGCAAATTCCAGAACAGTCAGGACTCTACACAGAAACCTTGTCTTGAAAAACAAAACAACAACAATCGCACTGAATCAGCTGAGAATTTCAGTAAGGGAAAGCCTCTTTAAGGTGACATTTAAGTCGAAACCCAATGGGCGTTCAGGGGTATGACTGAGGAACTTCAAGTCAAAGGCCGACAGACAGAAACGACTTCAGGCTGTGTTAGGAAGAGAAAGGCGGCTTGGTGGCTGGAGCCAGGAGCATAGCGGTATAACATCGCCATGATCATGTGTATACATACAGGACCCCAAACACCTTGTTTTTAGGTTTATGGTTAAGAAAGCAATAGGGCCGGCAAGATGGCTCACCAGGTAAGGTTCTTACTACCAAGCCTGATTACCTGAATTTGATCCCCAGAAACTACGCCATGGAAGGAGAAAACTGCCTTCCCCAGGTTCCCTGACCACCACAGGTGGAACACGGGCCACCACACATGTACATACATAATAAATGAAAGTAGTGTCTCTGGAGGAATTCCTTAACAAAGAAAAACCACTGTCCCTCCCCAGCAGCCATCACCTTCTAGTCCTCCTCCCCACATCCATGCTGGGACACAGTCTCAGGCTCTGTGAGTCCATGTGTGTCAACCGCACTCTCCTGTCCGGCAAGTACTGTTTTGATGATGCAGATCTCCACTCTTAAAAAATTTTCTCGCTGCCCCTCTTCTGCAGTGATGTCTGTGTCTTGGGGGTAGCTGTCCTATTTAAAATTATTTTTATTTTATGTGCATTGGTGTGTTGCCTGTGTGTCTGTGTGAGGGTGTCGGATCCCCTGGAACTGGGGTTACAAATGGTTGCGAGCGGTCACGTGGGTGCTGGAAATTGAACCCGGGTCCTCTGGACGAGCAGCCAGTGCTCTTAACCTCTGAGCCATCTCTCCAGCCCCTAGCTGTCCTATTTAGAGCTGGAGCCCTCTACAGTGTTTTCCTTCCCTGGAAACTTTACTTTTTTAAAAAAACCACATTTTATCACGGGGTGCGGACATGCCATGGAGCACGTGTGTGGCGGTCAGGACAACTTGCCTGGGTCGATTCACGTTACACCACGTGGGACCCAGGGGTCGAGCTTAGGTTGGCTGCCGGCGCCTTTATCCGCTGAGTCACCTCGCCAGCGCGCTCTTTTTAAATGTGGTATTTTATTAATTTTTTGAAAACAGGGGTCTCCCTGGGTAGCGGGCTGGGAACTTGCTGCAGGCTGCCTAGGCTCCCTAAGTGCTAGGCCGATAAGCCTGCGCTAGGACGCCCGGCTTCCCTGACATCTTCGACAATCAAGTTTTCCTCCTCAAGGACGTCTGACCAAACCCAGCAGCAGCCATGCTGCCCGGAGTTCCTCTCGGGGAACTTCCCGGAGAGGAACCAATCTTTCGCGAGATTTGGTGGGAGCGGTCACCGGTCCGCAGCTCGGCGGCAGCTATCGCGAGACTTGATAGGCGGAGGAGGAGCCGTCTCAGGCAGCCGCCTCACAGCGATGGCGGCCGAGCAGGGCCGGCGGCGGTGGCGGCTGCGGCTACGGCTGGAGACGGCAGTGGAAGAACCAGTGGTGGGTGGCGGGGGCCTGTGACCAGGAGGCGCCCCCGGGCCTAGGCACCATGAGCCAGGGCCCCCCTCCGGGGGAGAGCAGCGAACCAGAAGCAAAGGTCCTCCACACCAAGCGGCTCTACCGGTGAGAGGGCCGGGGCGTGTGTGCAGCCCCGGTGGGGAAGCGGGGCCGGCCGGCGCGGGGCGGGGCCTGGGGCGGGCGGGCGGGCCCGACGAGGGCGGGGGTGCAGCCTGCGAGCTTCTGGGCGAGCCCGGAGGAGCGGGGAAGAATTGGGGGTGGGTGGGAGGTTGGGAGCGCGTTGCTGCTGCAGTCGGCGGGGCTTAGGCGCGGGGAGCGGGAGAGATCCGGTGGGAATCGGAGGCTGGAAGGGCTGGATAGGTGAGGATGGGGGGGTCGGGTCGCAGGTGGGAAGAAAAAAACACAAAAACCGAAGGGGAGCGGTGCTCAGAACCCTGCCGAGCGCCCGTGGTTTACTGGAAACAGCCCTCGACGCAAAAACAGGTTCATGTCCTTGGTTTGCCCCCTCTCACTGTGTGTGACCTTGGGCCTCAGTTTCTTCTTCCTTAAAAGGAAGGGCCTGGGGCTGGAGAGGTGGCTCAGCGGTTAAGGGCACTGGCTGCTGCTCTTCCGGAGGACCTGGGTTCAATTCCCAGCACCCACATGGCAGCTCATAACTGTAACTCCAATTCCGGGGGATCTGACACCCTCACACAGACACACATGCAGGCAGAACACCAAATGCACAAAAAGTAAATATAAATCATCTTTTAAAAAAGAAACTTCAATGTATAGAAAGTGGATTTGATTAGAACCCACTCTGAAGTTTGGATCTTGTGGACTCTGAATGAGAAAGCAAGCCAGAAGACTAGTATTCAAGTCCCCCACTGACTCATTCCTTACAGTCCGCGTCCACACTCTTGTGTAGCTCAAGTGGAGTCCAGATCCCAGAGCTGAGTCACAGTAGGGTGAAGGATAGAGACCGCGATGATGAGTTTTCTGCCTTCTAGCGGAAGGTGGGGCTTGGGCTCCCATGTACCTCAGGCCCTGCTGAATGGAGGTGTCCGCCTGAGAAGAGTACCGGCCCTGCCCAGTCCTGGTAGTCAAGAACCAAGAGCTGGTTGTGTTCTGGCCTTGTAAGCCAGAAAGTGAAAGGTGGTGCAGGCTCTTCCAGAAATGGGAAGGTGATCGATCCCCATGAGCAGCCCCTGGCCTCCCATTGTGGGGCCCCAAGGAGAAGTCCCCAGGCTGAGGAGTTCCCTGGAGATGGCTTGTGTAACTAGCAATGCTGCTAAGTGCTGAGCTGCCTGTCAGGCCCGTGTGGCCAGTGTCTGTGATATGCCTTCCTTGTCTCCAGCCTGGCTGACGGCTTGGGCCAGTCTACTGACTGTGTCCAGTTGGCCTTCGAAGACCTGTTTCACAGGACTGACAGATTGAGCTGGTGTGTTTGCGGCACATGGCTTATATGTATGTATGTGTGCATATGGGTTATCTGTGATGGTGTTGGTTTTGAATAGGGTGAACGTTTGAGGCAGCCAGTGCGTGTGCGTGTGCGTGTGTGTGTGTGGCACTGGTAATGAATAACAGTCTGACTTCTGGTAAATGTGTTGTTAGACTGTGGAGCTGTTGAACTCAAATAGAGAAACGCTCATATCTAGCTGTCTACAAATACAGCATTTTGATATCTTTTAAGGCTATCTAGAGAAAAAGAAGCAGGAAAAGGGTTGCTGGGAAATCTACAAATACACTTAATTTATTAGGCCAGTTAGTTCTGTACTTGTTTTAAAAATATTTTCTTTAGCCGGGCGGTGGTGGGGCACAACTTTAATCCCAGCACTTGGGAGGCAGAGCCAGGCTGATCTCTGTGAGTTCGAGGCCAGCCTGGTCTACAGAGCGAGATCCAGGACAGGCTCCAAAACTACACAGAGAAACCCTGTCTTAAAAAACAAAACAAAAAAAATTATACTACCTTGATTTGAGTCAAGACTAATTTTCATGGTTTATCCAAAGGGAGAGTACAGTTTCTTGAAGAAGCTTATGATATGATAGACAATGGGGGAAAGGTGCTAAGTGCTCTCAGATTTAAGGATTTGTCCTTGGTGCTTTCTAGAGTATCAGATATTAACTTATTATTATTTTCTTTAATTGAGAACGTAAGGAACTCTCTGAATCCTGTTCATAAAATACAAACACTTGAACTGGGGGTGTCGTCTAGTGGAGGCCTTGGGTTCAGGATTACAGCAGCATCAGAAAATAAAACACTTATACTCTTATTACAACTGTCTGTGGCAGTGAAGGCACAAGAGTTTGAGGACAGCAAGGTCTCTGCCCTCCACCCCACCCCCCAAAAAAGCAAATAAAAAACTGTCCAGTGAACTAAGCTGGTGCCTGTGGCATTGAAGTCCAGATTGCAGGAAAGGATTGGCTCTGACCTCGAGGTAGACTGAAAGGTAACTGAATTCTAGAACATTGAGCTGTCAAGCTTCCTGTGAGAAGGCTTTGCTCTCCAGCCCACTCCTTCAGCTGAGTGCTAAATCACTTGGCCCTGTAGAGGGCAGCTTTTAGAGGTGTGCAGCTGGGCCATACAGAATCTGAGCCCACGTTTTGGCCTAAGAACACATCTTGGTTTGTTCTGGGAACCATCAGTCTCTGTTTTTGGATTGCCTTTTCATCCACAGAGGAGCCTAATGTACCAGCTTCCATAGCTTCTTGTGTTTTACCCTTCTAGAGAAGAGCCTACCTTTGGGGCCTTTTGGGTGTCTGTTGTAGAGTAATGCTTTAA